ACCTGGCCACCGCCCACCTGTCACCTGGCCACCACCCACCTGCCACCTGGCCACCGCCCACCTGTCACCTGGCCACCACCCACCTGCCACCTGGCAACCGCCCACCTGTCACTTGGCCACCACCCACCTGCCACCTGGCCACTGCCCACCTGCCTGTTAGTGCAGAAGGCCTTCTAGGGCACCTCATGGCCCATCACTGGATAGAGCCCAGCCCAGGACATGTGTGAAACTGGAAACTGATCCCAGCCTGGGAGGACCCTGAAGCAGGGGATCCTGGGGCCGGGCCAGAGTTTGGGACAGGGCCTGGGCTGGCTGGGATCTGGGCTGCCTAGAAAGAGGCCATGGTGGGTGAAGGGGCAAGGTTGGCAGAGGGGAAGGATGCAGAAGTCACTGGGTGGTGGCCAAGTGGAGACTCTGGAGAGCAGGCTGTCCAGGCCCCTGTGACCTGTGCACGAAGCCACAGGAAGACCCTGGTACACCCAAGGTCCTAGGCCTGAGGGCAGGACCTATGGAGAGGGTGAGGCACCATGGAGGCTAGGCAGGGAGGGCAGGGGATGGGCACGAAGGCTGCTTCAGGAAAGCACTTTCCTTTAGGCCCAGCCAGGGCTCTGCTGGGAGGGACCCGCTGGCTGTGGGGGCCCGAGGTCAGCAGGCAGGTCGGCACTTACCGGTTATAGCCACTCAGGGAGAAGGCACCCTGCGGGGAGGCGGAGGTGCTGCTCTTGAAGTAGTAGACGCAGCGTTTGTGGATGATGACAAAGCGCAGGGGCCCTGTGGGAGGTGGCAAGGGCAGGAGGGTGAGCCTGGAGGGGTGGTTGCCAAGACCCCCTGTGAGGACCCTCCCCAGGGCAACTTGGGGCCAGGCCTCCTGCCTCCAAGCCTCGCCAAAGGGAAGAGCAGGGAGCAAGGTAGGCATGCTGCCCCCTCCCCAGGAGCCCAATCTGGGGCCAAATAAGGAAAAATGTGTGGTCACACTGGCTAGCCCGAGCGCCACTCGAAGGCAGGCCTGGCTGCCCACAAAGAAGGGGTAGATGTGGGAGGCTGTGTGGAGCCACCA